TATTTATTTATTTATGTTATTCTTACTACTCTCTCCTTTTTAATTCTATGTATATATATATATATTTTTTTTTATTCACATGTTTGTGTACGGTAAGAAGGAAGGATGTGGGTTATTACTGACCTGTAGCATAATTTTGTAGGATTGGGGAGGGCTGGGGTTGTTGTTTTTGTAAAAAGAAAAAAAAAAACCTTATTTTCATTGTTTGTACTTGAACTTGTTACGTGAATAAAAACATGAATGAAAAAAATTAAAAAAATAGAAAGTCATCACTCAACCGATTGAAAATTTTACCCCTCAGTTTTATTTTGTGGTGTTTTCTATTTATTTATTTATGTTATTCTTACTACTCCCTCCTTTTTAATTCTATATATATATATATATATTTTTTTTTATTGACATGTTTGTGTACGTTAAGAAGAAAGGATGTGGGTTATTACTGACCTGTAGCATAATCTTGTATGATTGGGGAGGGCTGGGGTTGTTGTTTTTGTAAAAAGGAAAAAAAATCCTTATTTTCATTGTTGGCACTTGACCTTGTTACGTGAATAAAAACATGATTAAAAAAAATAAAAAAAAGAAAGTCATCACTGGGGGAGAGACAAAGGAGACAGACACAGTGTGGATGGGGGTGCTTTGGGGTAAAATGGAGCCATTCATCAGGATCTGTTCCCGGTGATGACACCCATTAATCATCCTCTATTGAAGGATGATTAAATGATTAAATGACTAAATGATGCCATCAGCCGCCTGAGTGGTGGCAGGAAGGCTACTGTCCCTTTAAGACGTCCCCGGCCTGCGTCATGACGTCAACAAAGCGGGGCGTGGCTCTAGCCTTTTCGCGCGAAAATCCCTTATTTTCTTCCGGTGGAGGCTTCTGCAGCGGTTTAAAACCGAGCCCGGAGCCCCGTGTTCGGACCCAGGATCCTGTGAGTGGACCCCGGAACCTTTGTGGACCCGGACCCTGTTTTTACCCCGGAACCTTTTTGGATCCGGATCCTGTGAGTGGACCCGGGATCCTGTTTTCGGACCCCGGATCGCGGAGCCCGTGTTCGGACCCAGTGGAAGTGTTCGGACCCCGGAACCTTTGTTGACCCCGGAACCTTTGTGGACCCAGACCCTGTGTTCGGACCCCGGAGCCTGTGAGTGGACCCCGGACCCTGTTTGGACCCAGGAACCTTTCTGGACCTGGACCCTGTGAGTGAACCCCGGACCCTGTTTGGACCCAGGGACCTTTGTGGACCCGGACCCTGTTTTTACCACCGAACCTTTTGGACCCGGACCCTGTTTTTTTTTACCCCGGAACCTTTGTGGACCCCAGAACCTTTGTGGACCCGGACCCTGTTTGGACCCCGGATCGCAGAGCCCGTGTTAGGACCCCGGACCCTGTTTTTACCCCGGTTTGTGGTAAGGCAAGGCAAGGCATTTTTATTTATATATTTATATAGCGCAATTCATACCCAGCGGCAACTCAATGTGCTTTACATTAAGACAAGACATTTTAAATAAAAAAGAACAGCATAAAAAACAAAAACATTTTTATTTTTTGTTTGTGTAGCGGACGGCAGCATGGCTCAGGCCCGGGTCACGGACTTTTTCTCCCAGAGGAAGAAGGGCGCCGCGGGGGCCGCCAAGCAGCAGGGCCCCGGTGGGGGGGCTCCCAGCTCCAGGACCCGGACCAGGACCCGGTCCACGGCCAACAAAGACCCGTTAATCTGCTCCTCCGCGGTCCACGAGGAGTTCCTCCGGGTCATCGACGAGGCTGCGGGGCTGAGTGATGGCGGCTGCCGGCTGGAAAAGGGGCTCCCGGAGAGCCCACGGACCCCGAAAAGGAGCTCCGAGGAAGGGGAGGTGGACGAAGGAAATGCCGGGGTTTCGGCCACCAACGACCGCTGCACGGCCAAGAAGAGACGGCAGGTCGAGAACCGGGAGGGTACCGCCAAGAGCTCAGCCAGAAAGAGACTCCTTCTTCCGGACAGGCCTAAGGTAAGGGGGGGTACCGGGCCCCGGGGGGGGTGGTTGGGGAGGCCCCTACTAGCCCCCACAGATTAAAAACATACAGAAAAATCAAGAGTTTTTTTTAAGACATGGAGAAGGCCACTGATTCCTTATCAACCATTTCCTGACTCTCATCTTTAAATGTTTAAAGATGAATGCATTCTAATACAAAGCCTTGACTGACTAGACCTGAACCCCCACTAGACCTGAACCCCCACTAGACCTGAACCCCTACTAGACCTGAGCCCCTACTAGACCTGAGCCCCTACTAGACCTGAACCCCCACTAGACCTGAGCCCCTACTAGACCTGAGCCCCTACTAGACCTGAGCCCCTACTAGAC